AAAAATGTTAAGAAACATAGAAGAGGAGATTGAAGTCTTTAGGAGGACCAGAAATGGTTTTTTTTCTCCCTCCCTCCCACTTTCACTGTTAGCCATTCTTGTGGTGTAAAATCAGTCAGACACAGACACACATTCTGAATCAAATAAGCACATGAAAAATAGCACATCTGGACACAGAGGAGCTGAAAGATTTGAGATGTAGGCAGCGACAGACTCACAGCAGAAAGGGAGAGCCAACCTGAACACAGGATGGGCTCCAGGCAGAAACTGCCAAGGAACTAGATATACCACTGTGAAAGATGACACAAAGGCACCTCAAAAGATGGACATGTGAATAGACAGGTACACAAGCAGACATCCACCAGGGTGGGAGGAGGAGGTTTGGCCTAGCTCCTTTCCTCCTCTCTTCTCTTTGCCTTTGTGAAATACTCTAATAATGGGCATTTACCATTCTGGGTCTCCCGCCCTTGGGATTTTTCTTTAGGCTTCATGAAGGTTGGTAGCAATGTGTTTCATTTAAATAAACTCACTCCTGCTAGGGTCTGTTAGTTACTGTATCTCCCCTCCTGGGAACAGACTTCTCTCACCAGTTTAAATGATCATATCCAAAAGACCCCTTTCAGGCATGAGTGTAAACGGCTGAATATCAGTCCCTTGGCTAAGACAGAGTTGGAGTCTGTCTTGATGCTTACTCCAAGACTAGAACTTTTTCCCCCAGTATGCCATGATCCTCCTTAACTTCACTGGACTTTCCTTTTCACCTCTGCAGTTTGAAGCAGATGAGAAGGGGAGGCTACGCATCAGGATCCCTACTCGAATAAGAGGAGCGTCATAAGATTTCCTTGGTTAAAAAGTGTTTCTTGCAAAAGCGAAGTTTGAAAACCTCAGGGTTACACAGGGCCGGATGAATTCTAAGGGTCCTTCCAGCTCTGACATTCTGAAATTCTATGACTAAGAGCTAATTTGTTCAAATCTAAACCCGCAGTAATTGCACAGAACTTGATTGAATTTTCTGAGCAAACATGGCGTCACTGTCTGCCCCAATAAGTATTTAGCCATGGCCCCAGTTTAATGATTTTGTGCAGTATCAATATTTCTTAGTGCAGTTTCCAGCACTGACAGGTAGGTGCATGATGATGTGAAACATGTGGGCTCAAGATGCCCACCCAGGAAAGCCACAGGTGGTTGTTGGTGTGTCCACCTGGCTTGGGCTGACACACAGACTGCACCAACCCCTCTGGCTAGTGCTGGGCACATGCAGGGGTAGCACAACTGCCTTTGAAAGGGGCATGCTGGTTGGGTGGGTGGATCGGGTTGCCCTAAAAGCTCAGGGATGCTGTAGCCAACGGGTCACAAAGAGAATAGCAGTGAATGGGGCTTGCTTTGTACAACTTCACTTTGATGCAAATCATCCCTGAAGGCTACTGCCTCACTTAGTATTCCATTCATTCATTCATTCATTCTACAGAGAGTGCGTGCTCTGTGCCAAGCTCTGTGCTAGAACTAAGGATAGAGACATGAACAAGATACAGTCCAATATCTCCCAAAAATCTCATTTGTGAATCAGAATTGTGGTACAGTCAAGGGGGCAGTATGTGAACCAAAGTCAAGGAATACTGATGCTGCTCAGCATCAACAAACTTAGGCTATGGATAAATATTTATGAGAAGAAATAATTTGGTAGGAATATTACTATATATGCACACTTTTAATTATTCCCACTGGCAAAACTGATGAATCAGAGACCTTTTTTTGTATGCAATATTCAAGATGCAAAGAAGTCTTATAATTAGCTCAGGTAAAATAACTTGATTGTTTCCTAAGTACAACTCTGAAAAAGCACAGATTAATTTAATACTTTTTGTTTATCTTTTAGTTACACATTATCCATGATTGGGTTTTATTTGTTGGTGATGGTTTGAGAGCATTGTGTTTTGGAGAGAAATGAAACATTTACTGGAAGAGAAAGGAAGATCGGTTCCTCTCTTTGATGCTGCCATGACACTAAGCCTGTCATTCCCAAACAGAGATACATTTATATAAGTTTGTGAGTTCTCTTGGTCATTTGTCTGTTATATATTTAGACTTTCACACATGCACCAACCATACACAAAGCACCTTCTCTGACACGTGCACTGGACCACGTGTGGGAACACTGGAAAGATTAGAGCATAGCCCCTGCCCTTGAAGGGCTTCTACTCCAGAAGGGGAGCCAACAAATAACTCAAGGACTTTATGATGAGTGGCATAACAGAGGTGTGGACAAAGGGAAGCTGAGAAGAACAGGGACTAAGAGATGAGGGTATGTGGAGAAGCTTTAAGAGACAAGGTGGCCTATGGTGGGGTGTGGTGGAGAAGGTCTGAAGATTGACCCTATTCATCATTGTGGGGCTAGACGGAGCCATCCTCTTTCTCCAAACTCTGTTTTGCTTTGTTTTAATCAGTAGAATGTATCTGTGAGAGCCACAGAACTACACAGCAAGCAGATCAGTCTGTAGCTGGGATTAGCCCAGTAGCCTGCATCAGTTTAACTGCTTCAATTTAGGATGAAATATAGCCACTCCTTTTGAAAAACGCAATGCAGAGAGGTGGGTGGTCAGAGACTGGCTCCTATCCCCTAACCTTAGCTTCTTGAAAATCAGATTTTCCTTGCCTACCCAGCACTCCTATCTAGCAGAGTTATTCTTTTATGGGGGCAAAGTTGTTTGAGTAGCACTGGGTATCATGGTAGCTTTCAAATTATTCACATTCCAAAGGAGGTTTAATGATTTCCAAGATAATTGGTTGTAGAAATAAGTCCTTCTAAAAACCCAGCAATAGAATGTTCATGATGCCACAGGATGATTCAGAACATTTGGCCTTAATTACTTTGATTGTCCGCCAGGATTTAATATATGAATATTACATTGCGATCTTCAATTTAATTTCTTGTGTAAATGGATTGTGGCAGAATCCTGTAGTCCTGAACTGGCACATAATTCAGCGTGGGAGACACTATCTTAACTCATCTCATTACTCAAGCCATTTGTTGTCCTTCAGGCTTTGACAGCCAGGAGATGGGAAAGTAGCAGAGGTGATGTGATCTCTCAACCTGGGTCCAGACAGACATGAGCCATAGTCTCTACCGATTACGTTGTTACACAGACACAGACAGCACTTATTTTCAGAAGAAAAAAAAATGCTCCAGTCAATGTGCAGCTGTGTGCTCTGGTCTTTCTTAGCATAATGGAGTGGAAAAAGCTGGGGCATGCATGCAAGAGACCTGAGTTCTAGTCCTAAGTTGACCACTAACTTGCAGTATGATCTTGGGCAAGCCACTTAATTTCTCTGAGCTTTCGATTCCTCGTCATTAGAACTACATAATCTCCAAGTGCTTTCCAGAGTGAAGGTTTTCTGACGTATTAATAGCATGTGGCAAATCTGACAGTTTTGGCACCATGGTTAAAAGAAGGTTGTTTCTATCCATCTGTGAATAATAAGCAGCCCCCCAAGAATGGGCAAAGTTTGAGGAAAGGGAGAGCGAGACAGGGCAGATAAGTGGGAGGGAAGAAGGAAGGGAAGGTGGAGAGAACAGCCCTGCAGCCTTAGTGAGCTATCCCTCAGGGCCCAGGTGAGCTTGTTAGGACCTTAGCAAAATGGGGGACATTTCAGCCTGGGAAGCTTGATGGAAATTACAGGAATAAAATGAGATTCAAAAAGCATTAAATGGGAAGCCACAGTGCTGGAGAATTTATTTGTACCACATATAACAGAGAGTTTGCATCTAGAATGCATAAAGAACTCCTAGAAATGAATATGAAAAGGACAATCTAGTAGGATAAAATGGACAAAGGACTTAAATGGGAATTGTACAAAAGAGTATATCCAAAAGGCCAATGAACATATGAAAAGATGCTCAACCTCAGTCATCAGAGAATTGCAAATCAAACCACAACGAGATACCACTGCACACCCACCAGAGTGATTAAAATGTAAAAGTCTGACAATACTTACTGTTAATAATGATTTGGCGCAATGAAAGAGTGCAAATTGGTACAAACTTTGAAAAACTGGCAGCATTCAGCAAATGGAATGTGTGCTTATGACTCAGTGATTCCACTACTAACAGAAATGCAGGCACATGTGCACCAAAAGTCAAACAAAAATAACCATAGTAGTGTTAGTCAAACAGCCCCAAACTGGAAATGCCCATCTGCAGTAGAATGGTAAACTCAATTGTGGCATATTCACAAAAGGGAATATTATACAGCAATGAGAAGGAACAATATCAGTTTTATGCAACAACATGGATGAATCTCACAAACATAATATTGAATGAAAGAAGCCAGAAACAAAAGCATACATACTGAATTATTACATAAAAGTCAGTAACTGGCAAAACTATAATGTTTAGGAATGCATGCTAAGATGTACAAGTATAAATAAAAGCAAGGAAGTGATTTTTGGAAAAGTCAAAAAAGTTGTTACCTTTTAGTCGGGGAGAAAGGAATTATGATTAGGGAAGGGACACAAGTAGGGCATCAGGGATGCTGATAATATTCTATTTTTAACTGGGTAACAATTAACACGGGTGTCTCGTTGAACAAGTTGTGCATTTATGATTTATGCACTTTTCTTTATGTGTGGTATATTTCACAATTTAAAAATAAAGCTTTAAAAATACAGAGATTGAAAAAAGTCAAAGCCAAATCTTTGTTTCAGACTAATGTGACTCCAATTTCTGTCCATTGTCTCAGGACCCTGCAGATTCTAGACTCTCGGCAAAGAGAGGACAGAGGCTGTGTCTCATTTCTCTCAGTATCTGCCTGCCAAAATCTTCCAACTTTAAAGCTAACCTGACTCCAATTGGTACCTAACAGCCACCAGCCAACTGACTGCAGTTAAAGACACCTTGTTCCAGCTGCTTTCTAGTTTCCTCTCATTTCCCCATTCTCAAACTATTCTTGTTCCATTTCAGTTCCATCTTTCTCTTGAGTCTTTATTCTGTCTTCTGTTTGCAGCCCTGTTCCTTCCTTTTGGACTAATGGCTGAGTGACCCAACTGGATTTCCTTGGCTTGAACCTGAGCAAGCCCTCTCTCTCTAAAGACTTGAATGCCTACTCCCTTCACTGAGTGGTTTCTTCTGTTCCTGGCCAACTCAGGTAGGGTATCTACCACCTCCCGCTCCTTAGATCTTATAGGGTTAAAGTGCCTTATCTCAAATCCTTGGCGCCAAATGTTTCAAAATACAGAATTTGGGGAATTTTATCAAGGTAATCATGTGTATTTGCCAATATCACATAACACCTCTCGCAGGTTGCGGCATAGCTCCCCATAATCAAATACATTAATATTTTTGTCATGAAATATATGGATGTTCACACTAAGTGGGATAAAGAAAGACTATCATAATATAAGTTAAAATGAGTTTTAACGTCAAACTTATGAGAAAGTTTTTGGTTTTCAGAGCTTTGTGGTTTGGGAAGTGAAAATAAAAAATAGGAGCCCAATGCTTATTTGGTGGATGGATGGAAGGATGGAAGCATAGAAGGACACAATGAATTACATGTGTTTATCATCCCAAGTGACAAATGTGCATTTAACAAGAGTCTTCATCACTTTAACCAATTGTGGGCACATCAGATTCCACCGCTGGCAAGAGGAACACTAGTAGAAAAATCTACCACATAGGTCTGCTACCAGAACATAGATGGCCTGCCTGGGGTCAAGTGGCCATCCCTGGGCCACTCTTCTGCATAAAACATCCATCCAGCCCCTTTTCCTGGCTATGAGTGGGGTAGGCCTAACTAGAAGGGAAAGTTATGGGTATGGCAAGTACCTGGGGCTGTTGGGTCCAGTTGGAAAGGAATGGATGGGCTTCAAGCACCAATTTCATGTGGCCCTCCTTAAATAGTATTGTTCTCAGCAAGGCTTTGCAAAGGTATTGAGTGGAATTAGTTCAAGATCACCCTTCCCAGCAAGTACTCAGAGTGCAGTAAGTATATATTTCTAGGAAAGGGTACAGTTAGGTGTTTTTTACTTCCAGCCACCTGGGAGTGTGGATACTACAGCTTATTGTCCTGGGATGCTTCAGAGGCAAAGCAGTGAGTTCCAGGAGAGGCTAGCAAGGGACTAGAGCATGAGTCAAAGCCAAACCCTCAGGCTCCCCCACCCAGGAGACACCAAAGAATCATGGGAGACCTCATCAGGAGAAAACCACGCAGCCACTTCCAGGACCGATGCCTAGAGGAGAAGCTCAGGGGAAGGTGGATTTGAGGAGAGGTTAGGAGGCTCAGCCTTAGAGCTCCAGAAAACTGGGTTGTTTACTCCTAGAATATGGAAACTGAGTCACCAGGTAGGCATCTCCCATAGCTCTGCCCCAGGCTTTTCCATCTTAAAACAGTAAGACAGGACTTACATGAGCTCTTCCATCTTTTTCTGCTCTGCTTTCCAGAGTTCATGAATCTATGATTCTCTTTTAAATAATCTTTGTCTTTTTTCTCATAAGAGTAATACATGCTCCTTGTTGAAACTTTGAAAAGTTAGGTAAATATATAAATGTTTAGATTCACTTATCATCCCACCCACCTCTTACACATTTGAGTGTATTACCTTTCTGCTTGCTTGCTTTTATTTTCCATGTCTTTATAAAATTGTGATGATAGACTTTTGTATTTTGAGTTAGACACTTAAGTATATTGTGAGCATTTCCCATGTCACCACAAAAGCTATCATTCTAGTCTAATTTGAACATCCACCAGATATTGTGGGCACACTTAGCAAGGATAAAATGTGTAGCCTGCCTTTATGGAACTTATACTCTTGTTGAGAAGATGAGGCTGATATACATGGAACCAATAGTGATAAATACAAATGGAATATAATGAAATGTCACTTTGAGGGATAGGCTGGAAAGACAGTAAGAATCCAAAAGAGGGAAAGATTGACGTGGGTAGCATTATAAGTGGAGGCTCCTGGAGAAGGCAGGACTTAAATTGGCCTTTAAAGGATAAGAAAAAGGAGAATGAGAAAGGTAGAAGCATGAAGAAAACAGACACAATGGGGGAAAGCTGGATTGAGTAATCCCAAACCCTTTATGCTTATCATTGTTGTTGATGATACAGAGCTACCCAGGGCCAGGATTTCAGGACTGTTCAGGGTCCCACCTAATATATGAACAAATAAACCCAGGTCTCTAACCTAAAGGGGATTTGGAGGCTAAATGCATGAAAAATGAAGCACTGGTATTGATATGGCAGTAGCTTAGACTCAGACCTTTTTCCACTTAGTAACTGACTTGTTTCTTTGCTGCATCTTGAACAGTGATGGCTCAAACATCACGGTGCTAGTGGCCAGAGTCACCAGTTGTACAACTTCCTAGCTAGATAGCTGATTACATGACTCCAGAGCCCTAGTCACAGTCAATTCACTACTGTGAGTTGGTAATCACAAAAAGAGGGTAAACAGAGAGAAAGCCCATGTCACAAGCCCCCTTCTTCATACACTGAAGACACAGCCAAAAGCTTGTTGTAAATGTTAATTAAGTCATTAATTTGTGATCTGAAGATCTCCCCAGTGGAACTAGGAGTTTCCTAAGGACAGAAAAACAGTGGTTTGAAGAACAGTAGAAATGTTCATGAAATACCACAGTTTAAGATTCATTTGTGATGCATCAGAAATGCCCTTGCCTATGGTCAGGAGACTTGCCACTAACTAGCTATATGATTTTGACCAAATTCTATTACTTCTTGGAGTCCATCTCAGTTTTCTTCCTCATCTGTAAAATGGAAACTATTTCAAAGTTCCCTTTTGGCACCAAAATTCTATGAACCTACAATGTATTTGGACCACCACCACTTTTCAGATTTCAGGATCCCCTACAACAATGCAAATAACCCTAAGAAAAGGCTACATCTTACCCTGTGTTGCCAGTCACCACCATACCTGGGAATCGAAGTCCTTTGGGGAATGGGACCAGGAGAGCGAGCAGGCCCAGCCCGAGGGGAGAGGCACAAAAAGGAGAAGTGGGTGGACCCCAAGATGTCACCAGTTAAGCAGAGAGAGGATCTTGATACCTCCTCCTCTATCTGCCTGTCCCCTGAGTGCCCAGCAGCAGGCTGTGCTTTACTGCATGCCTACGTAGGTGCCTGCTCACCACAGGGTGCCCTAGCTGCCAGCATGCTATTCCAGGCCAATAGGAGAACCCTGAGGTGAAGTACCCTGGGGCCAATCGTAGGTGGAAATATCTCTTTAATGGCCAGAGAGAGTGTATCTTTGGCTGCTTTTCATTGGTTCAGACCAACTGAAGGCTCTCTGGACTCTCAGCCAATGCCGAGCCATCAGCCAACAGGAATGGGCTTTGTTGCTGGATCTTGTTTTTGTCTAGGGCTGATGGGTAACCCTGCCCCAAGGGCTGCCTTGTCTCCTCATTATCATCCCTGACTGAAAACTTTTGCCATGAACACAGAAGGCATGAGCAGTGGGACTTAATCAAGGCAGCTCAGAGGTAGGCATGCTTGGGGCCAGGGGCCATGCCTGGGCCCAGTCCTTGCAGGTGAGTGTAGGTGAACCAGCAAAGGGAGAGAATAAACAAGTAGAATTGGTGGGCATGGGCACTGTGAGATTAAAGCTAAGGGCAGGTCTTGACAGATCAAACTCTTCCTTCCTTCCCACAAGCCATGAGTATCTGAGTAACTTATCCACAATCCTATGGTTCCCCCTTTACTCTTTCTCTGTAGCCCCAACCACAACCAGGGAGGGGTTCCTCCCAAGAAAGTAAGAAAAGCTTATTGGAGAAGGTGTGCCGGCTCCCACTTGCAGGCTGGATTCCCTGACTTAGGATGCCCGCAATGGTCAGAGATATAGACTTGGTGACTCTGGCCTTCAGAGATACATGGATTCCATAATATTTGCTTCTAACATCTCAGATTATAGTCTGACTATCTCCTCATATGCTTTAAGGAAGGCTAGGGGTGTGGGTTCAATCCTGGGTGAGCTGGGTAGCCTTCTTCACTTTGGTCTCTGACCATTGACACAATTATTAGTCCCACCCAAGGGCAAAATCTCTAACCTGAACAGCTATTTAAGCAATGTGTACACAGGAGGCAGAATGAGAGAGTATGGAGGATACAGTGAAAAGCCTTCCCTGTTTCTGAAAACATTCAGTCTTACATCAAACACTCACTGAATGCCTTTTATGAGGCAGACACTCTACTAGATGCTAAGATAACAAAAAGGAATAAGACACATGAACTTTTGGTGAATCCCGCCAGGGCAGAGCCAGGGGGAAGAGTGTGTTTTAAGCACTAGTGATCAACTACCTTTAAAAATTGACCTGAGGTTATAGTTGGCTTTGGAATCCCCCAGAACTGGCCCTTGGTAAAACTGATCACAAATGTCTGTTTACAATGCCCCTTAAGGTGCTCCCATATTAAAACTCTCTTTCAGAAAAAAAAAAAAAAATGTACTTCAAAATTTATGTAAGACCTTGGGCAAGTCAATTCTCAATCCTCCCCTCCTTAAAATAACAAGCTTAGGCTTGGGGCTGTGAAGCCCTTTCCAAATCTAATAGACCCTCTAGGAGTCTATAGTAGCAGTCATTTACTCATTAGTATAAATTTAAGTAGCTATGTTCCTTTTCCCTGGATTAGCTATATTTTAAGCTTTGTTTCCAATTGTGTAATGAAAGACTTTGTCACTTAAAGATTTTGCAGGGATCTGCCTACATTTGTGGAAGGGAAATGAAGATTAAAGAGGTATAATAAACCTCCCCAATATCCTAACATCCTCTTTCCTTGGGCTCTCCTGCACTCTGTTGAGGTTAATCCCAACAGATTACTTAGTTACTAACAAAAAGAATCATTAAAAATAAAAAACTAAGCCTTATTGGGGGCTTACAATGATCTAACACCAAGAAACTGTTGCAACAATGAACCGGCAAAGCCTAGTGAAAAGTTCTGAGCACATATTATGCAGGCTCAGGATGCAGAAATTGCAACAGCACTTTGCCCCTTGCTCTTCCCTCCTGTCTGTTTTGGCTTCCTTTGGAGCCTGGATCTCAGTCCTACTGGCCGTAGATATTTTGAATGATTCAAGGTCAGGAAAAGGGACAATGATTCAGAAATGCACATCATTCCTTAAGTACATTTAATTGTAAAATACA